CTTCCTTCCTTCCCTATCTTTCATTCCTTCTCTCCTTCCTTCCCTCTCTTTTTCCTTTCACTTTTTTATTTCTTTCTCTCCTTCCTTGCTGCTCTACCTTTCTTTCTTTCCTTCCTTCCTTTCTTCTTTCCCTCCCTCCTTCTCTTCTTCCTTCCTTTCCCCTTTCCCTCCTTCATTCTTTCCCTCTTTCCCTCCTTCTCTCGTTACTTCTTGACTGTCCGTTCCATTTAATATTGTATTTATATCTTACATACAAAGAAGGAAAGGAAGAAGGAAGGAGGGACAGGAAGGAAGGAGAAAGGGAGGGAGGGAAAGAAGGGAGGGAAGGAGAAGAAAGAAGGAGGGACAGGAAGGAAGGAAAGGAAGGAAGGAGGGAAGGAAAGGAAGGGGATTGAAAGGAAGAAGGAAGGAGGAATATTAGTAGTAGCAGTAGTTGTAGTATTAGTGTTTATATCCTAACAATAATAATAATAATAATAATAATAAATAAATTATTTTTATTATCTAATATTATTTTTATTATATATTCGTAGTAGCAGTAGGTGTAGCATTAGTATTTATATCCCAATAATAATAATGTATTATTTTATTTATTAGTATAATATTATTATTTTTATTATATATTCGTAGTAGCAGTAGTTGTAGTATTAGAGTTTATGTCTTAATAATAATTTATTCTCTTATTTATTATTATATTTTAATATATATTAGCAGTAGCCCTAGTATTAGTGTTTATATCCTAACAATAATAACTATAAATTATTTTATTATATAATATTATTTTTATTATATTCGTAGTATTAGTGTTTATATCCCAATAGTAATAATTTATTATTTTATTTCTTATTATATTTTAATATATATTAGCAGTAGCGGTAGTCCTAGTATTAGTGTTTATATCCTAATAATAATAATAATAATAATTTATTTATATTATATAATATTATTTTTATTATATATTCGTAGTAGAAGTAATTGTAGAATTAATATTTATATCCTAATAATAGTAATAATTTATTATTTTATTTATTATTATATTTTAATATATATTAGTAGTAGTCCTAGTATTAGTGTTGATATCCTAATAATAAAAATAATTTATTTTATTATATAATATTATTTTTATTATATATTCGTAGTATTAGTTTATATCCCAATAATAATAAGTTATTATTTTATTTGATATTATTATATTACTTTTAATATATATATTAGTAGTAGCAGTAGTTGTAGTATTCGTGTTTATATCCTAATAAAAATAATAATTTATTTTATTATATATTCGTAGTAGCAGTAGGTGTAGTATTAGTATTTATATCCCAATAATAATAATAATAATAATAATAATTTATTTTATTTTATAATATTACTTTTATTATATATTAGTAGTAGCAGTAGTCCTAGTATTTGTGTTTATATCCTAATAATAATAATAATAATAATAATATATTTTTATTATATATTCATAGTAGCAGTAGTTGTAGCATTAGTATTTATATCCCAATAATAATAATAATGTATTATTTTATTTATTATTATATTACTTTTATTATATATTAGTAGCAGTAGTCCTATTATTAGTGTTTATATCCTAATAATAATAATAATTTATTTTTATTATATAGTATTATTTTTATTATATATTCGTAGTAGCAGTAGGTGTAGTATTTATTTATTATATTTATTTATTATATTTCTTTTAGTATATATTAGTAGTAGCAGTAGTCCTAGTATTAGTGTTTATATCCTAATAATAATAATAATAATATTTTTTTATTATATAGTATTATTTTTATTATATATTCATAGTAGCAGTAGTCCAAGTATTAATGTTTATATCTTAATAATAATTTATTCTTTTATTTTAATATATATTAGCAGTGGCCCTAGTATTCGTGTTTATATCCTAATACTACTACTACTACTACTACTACTACTACTACTACTAATAATAATAATAATAATAATAATGTACCTGACTTTTTGAATCAAAGAACCAACCCCAAAATCATTGAGAATTCAAAGAAGATCTTTACTTACAGGTAGATCCAAATCCAGGTAGATATCAGTGTGAAAGTCCTGGGAAATTGAAGAGTAATCTGGGATTTTCCTGAACCCAAAAGAGGAGAGGAATCCCATGCGGTCGGCCAAAAAGGGGGAAAACAAAGGCAATGTTGCGAAGAGGAACAAAGAGAAGGCTTCCAAGTCTCCTATTTCAAAGGAGGAGGAGCATGGCCACCTCCTTTGAAATGGGATCTGGGGTCGTAAAAACAAGTTAGTTGTAAATTCTGCAACAAAGGGAGACTCCAAAGTGGATTTTACCCCCAAATAGATGACTTTAAAAGGCATTTTTTAAGGGGGAAGTTAGGTAATATCACAAAAGTTTGGTCCAGATCCATCGTTGGCTGGGTTAAAGGTGAACTACAACTCCCAGATTCCCTGGGCAATCACCCCCAACCCCTGCCAGTGTTTGCAGTTGGCCACGTTGGGTCTGTACACCAAGTTTGGTCCAGATCCGATGTCGATGGGTTCAGTGCTCTCTGGAAAATGGTGAACTATAACTCCCTGGGAAAGGGTGAACTACAACTCCCAGATTCCCTGGGCAGTGGGTAATCACCCCCAAAGCCTGCCAGTATTTGCAGTTGACCATGTTGGGTCTGTATGCTAAATTTGGTCCAGATCTGATGTCGGCTGGGTTCAGTGCTCTCTGGAAAAAGGTGAACTACAACTCCCAGATTCCCTGGGCAGTGGGCAATCACCCCCAAAGCCTACCAGTATCCATAGTTGGCCACGTTGGGTCTGTGCACCAAGTATGGTCCAGATCCGATGTCAGCTGGGTTCGGTGCTCTCTGGAAAAGGGTGAACTACAACTCCCAGATTCCCTGGGCAGTGGGCAATCACTGCCAAACCCTGCCAGTATTTGCA